TCCAAAGTAGGTTCCAGTCTCCAAGCTGTCAGCACAGAGCCCGACATGGGACTCGAACCCACAAAACACAAGATCATGACCTGAGCCAAAGTTGGATGCTTAACTGACTGAGCCACCCAGGCGCCCCACAGCCAAGAATTCTTTATCCAGCAAGGCTGTAATTCAAAATAGGAGAGATTAAAAGTTTCCCAGACAAACAAAAATTAAAGGAGTTCATGATCACTAAACCAGCCCTGCAAGAAATTTTAAGGGGGACTCTCTGAGGGGAAAAAAAAAAGACCAAAAGCAACAAAGACCAGAAAGGACCAGAGAACTTCACCAGAAACTCCAACAGGCAACATAATGGCAATAAATTCATATCTTTCAGTACTCACTCTAAATGTCAATGAACTAAATGCTCCAATCAAAAGACACAGGGTAACAGAATGGATAAGAAAACAAGATCCATCTATATACTGTTTACAAGAGACCCACTTTAGATGTAAAGACACCTTCAGATTGAAAGGAAGGGGATGGAGAACCATCTATCATGCTAATGGTCACCAAAAGAAAGCCAGAGTAGCCATACTTATATCAGACAATCTAGACTTTAAAATAAAGACTGTATCAAGAGATGAAAAGGGCATTATATCATAATCATGGGGTCTATCCACCAAGAAGACCTAACAATTGTAAACATTCACGCTCCAAATGTGAAAGCACCCAAATATATAAATCAGTTAATCGCAAACATAAAGAAACTCCTTGATAATAATACCATAATGGTGGGGGACTTTAACACCCCACTCACAGCAATGGACAGATCATCTAAACAGAAAATCAACAAAGAAACAACGGCTTTGAATGACACACTGGACCAGATGGACTTAACAGATATATTCAGAACATTTCATCCTAAAGCAGCAGCATACACATTCTTCTCAAGTGCACATGGAACATTCTCCAGAATAGACCACATACTGGGGCACAAATCAGCCCTCAACAAGTACAAAAAGATCGAGATCATACCATGCATATTTTCAGACCACAACGTTATGAAACTAGAAATCAACCACAAGAAAAAATTTGGAAAGGTAACAAATACTTGGAGACCTAAGACCATCCTACTAAAGAACGAATGGGCTAACCAAGAAGTCAAAGAGGACAGTAAAAAGTACATGGAAGCCAATGAAAATGATAACACCACAGCCCAAAACCTCTGGGACACAGCAAAGGTGGTCATAAGAGGGATGTATATAGCAAGCCAGGCCTTTCTAAAGAAGGAAAAAAGGTCTCAGATACACAACCTAACCTTACACCTTGAAGAGCTGGAAAATGAACAGCAAATAAAACCCCAAACCAGCAGAAGACAGGAAATAATAAAGATTAGAGCAGAAATTAATGCTATCAAAACCAAAAAAAAAACCCCAGTAGAACAGATCAATGAAACCAGGCATGCCATTTATTAAGTATGAGAACCTCTGTGCACTGAAAAGCTGATTGGGGATTTTGTGTACATGAACAATGTTTGCCAACTGTCAGGTTGGCTATAGGTTAATTAAATATTGAGTTAGGCATTATGATGTGGAAACTCCCAACTGTGAAAACTTGGAGGTCTTTTTTCTGACACCATTCAATTTCTTTAAAACATTTTTTTTAATTTAAAGGTTATTTATTTTGAGAGGGAGAGAGAGATCACGAACAAGGGAGGGCAGAGAGAGAGGGAGAGAATCCCAAGTAGGCTCTGCACTGTTAGCATGGAGCCTGATGCGGGGCTTGGAGTCTTGAAACATGAGATCATGACCTGAGCCAAAACCAAGAGTTGGATGCTTAACTGGAGTCACCCAGGCCCCCCAACACCATTCAATTTCTTTAAAAAATTTTTTTGTTTTTGGTCTAGAATGACATCTTATTGCTGAATGGTCAGCCAGCAGAGGTGCATGTACATGTGTTTTTTTTTTTTCCTGGTCTTTATTCAGATTTTTATTTACCCACCCCCTATGTTTTTAGTCCCTCATTTCATCTGTTCCCTCTGTATCTTGTGTATGAGCACTCCGAGCTTCACCTTTATCCTGCTGTACCAATTACCACTGTTAGAAAGAAAACCACAGGCTCAAAATGGAATCATTTGGGACAGGCTAAGTCACCAAACTGGGGCTTAATTCCTAACCTAACTGCAGTTTCAACCTCCCCCCAGAAATAGGTCTTCACCTGCCAATCAGAAATTTTCTGAACAGCACCAATGAGATAATCTGTCACATGGGCTCTCTCCATCCCCCAAAGGAAAATGAGGTAATCTGTCTAAAAAGATTCCTTGCCACCCTTTTGCACTGTTGGTGGGAATGCAAACTGATGCAGTCACGCTGGAAAACAGTACGGAGGTTCCTCAAAAAATTAAAACTAGAACTATTATATGACCCAGCAATTGCACTACTACATATTTATCCAAAGGATACAAAAATGCTGATTCAAAGGGCCACATGCATCCCAGTGTTTATAGCAGCACTATCAACAATAGCCAAAGTATGGAAAGGGCCCAAATGTCCATTAACTGATGAATGGATAAAGAAGATGTGGTAGATATATACAATGGAATATTACTCAGTGATCAAAAAGAATGTAATCTTGCCATCTGCAACAATGTGGATGGCACTAGTATTATGCTAAGCGAAATAAGTCAGTCAGAGAAAGACAGATATCATATTATTTCACTCATATGTGGAATTTAAGAAATAAAACAGATGAACATAGGGGCAAGGAAGCAAAAAAAAAAAAAAAGATAAAAACAGAGGGAGGCAAACCATAAGAGACCCTTAAATACAGAGAACAAACAGGGTTGCTGATGGGGTGTTGGGTGGGATGGGCTAAATGGGCAAGGGACATTAAGGAGGGCACTTGTTGGGATGAGCACTGGATGTCATATCTAAGTAATGAATCACTAAATACTATTCCACTAAATACTATTCATTATGACACTATATGTTAACTAAAAAAAAAATTTTTTTTTAATAAACATACAAAGGTCCCCTGCCCTTCTCCCTAAGTGAAGATGACTGCCTGAAACAATCCTTTCTTTTCTTTTGCTAATAACTTTCTCACCCTGTCTTCCTTTCTTTTTTTAATTTATTTTTTTAAATCGAAATATATTTAATACACAACGTTACATTAGTTTCAGGTGTACAACATAGTGATTCAACTTCTCTATATGTTATGCTATGCTCACAAGTGTGGCTACCATCTGTCACCACACAGTGCTATTATAACATCATTGACCGTATTCCTTATGCTGTGTCTTTTATTCCTGTGACGTCTTCATTCTATAACTGGAAGCCTGTATCTCCTACTCCCTTCAACCCATTTTGCCCATCCTCTGCCCCATCCTCCTTTTCATAGAAAGCTTCCATTTCGTACAACTCCTTGAAACTCCCCTTTACTTAGTAGAGCGGCTGCTGCCCAATTCATGAATCACTTCATAAAGCCAATCAGATCCTTAAATTTACTCAGTTGAATTTTGTTTGTTAACTTCACTCATCTTCCATCTATATTCCACCTTGCAGGATTTTGTTGAAATTTCTTGCCCTCTGATGGACTCTCCTGCCCTTGTTATGGGCTTGTATGTTCTTTTCATTCCTTCACCATAATTTTGGTGAAATCTTGAGGAAAGGAGATAAATACATGTATTCAATTTACCACCTTTAATCAGACTGCTTAATTTCAAAAGTGTTTGTGTTACAAACTCCCCCTCCCATCCCTCTAAATCTGGTCTTGTGAATAGTGTAAATTTTTTAGACAATTAAAGAAGTGTTTCTGTATATTATGGGAGTAAGGTTCAGATAATCTTGGGTGGGTTAAAGTATCCTACTGAGTAATCTGGACAAGGGGAAAGTACTAAAGATTCTTAGGGCAGTATGAGATAAACTCTTTCTTCATGACTTCAGAAGTCTGGTTACTCATTTACAACCAGGATAAGATAAATGTTCAAGTAACTAGAGAAGTTCTATAAACCACTTGTAAACTACTTGGGAAGTTTTTATTCTACTACTGAACCATGTTCCCATAAACATTCGGTGACCTCTAAACTTCCCACATCTGGAAGAGAACAAGCTGTGGCATCACACCATGCTACCCCCTCCTATGTCCTACTCACTCCCAAAGAATGTCTCCTTTAAGCGACTAGAACATTGGCTGCTTACTCACACCAGATTCCTCAGGATTGGCTGGGACTGCAAATAAGCTCTGTTTGCCTATAGTCAAGTTGATAAGCTGCAACATAAATGCACACAAATTCCCAGTCTTAAAATATAACATGAAGCATTTGCTATCTTCTTTCCTCCTATTATTTTCATGCGAGACCTGAAGAATAAACACTGTCCTTGGCCACAAGAAAAAGGTCTTTGAAGAGAGAAAAAAACTCTAAGATGGGTCTACTGAGTTCTAAAAACCCACAAACCAAGCAAGCCCAGATTCTTCTTCTGGGACTTGACTCAGCTGGGAAGTCTACCCTCCTTTACAAATTGAAGCTTGCTAAGGATATCACGACCATCCCAACAATAGGTTTCAACGTGGAGACGATCGAGTTGGAAAAGAGTCTTTCGCTCACGGTCTGGGATATTGGAGGACAGGAGAAAATGAGAACCGTGTGGGAGCACTACTGTGAGAACACCGATGGGCTTATGTATGTTGTGGATAGTACAGACAAACAGCGGCTGGAAGACTCCAGGAGAGAGCTGAAGCACATTTTGAAGAATGAGCACATTAAAAATGTGCCTATTGTCCTATTAGCCAACAAACAAGATGTGCCTGGAGCTCTGTCTGCTGAGGACATCACTAGAATGTTCAGAGTGAAGAAGCTGTGCAGTGACAGGAACTGGTATGTGCAGCCCTGCTGTGCCATCAGTGGGGACGGGCTGATGGAGGGGTTCAGGAAACTGACCGGATTTGTGAAAAGCCACATGAAATCAAGAGGAGACACCTTGGCATTCTTCAAGCAGAACTGAGGTCCAAACAACGAAAGAGTTAGTGGTGAAGTTGAGAGGGTAATTTTCTTTTTCAATGCCAAGTGAGAAAAGCAAGTTGCTGAGTTAGCAAACTTTTCCTAAGATATGTTATTTCACCTAAATTCAGCTAACCAACTTAGCAAATATTATTTTTGGCCAGGCACGTTAGTAAACTTTGTGGTTAATGATAAATTGAGAATGAAAATTTTATAATTTTGTGCATGTTGGATGAATCATAATAATCATGTTTGGGACCAAATAAATTATTGTTTTATTATTTTTATATGACTACTAGAACAAAGTTTAAGTAAAATGCTGATAGATTCAGAATTCTTTCAGATGGTTTCCAGTTGTTACAGTCTTGAATTTCCACCATGCTCCTATGGAATAGCGAGTAAAAAAATGAACTTTAAATGATGGAGAGGAAAAAGTTTGATGTTAACATTTTGTAAATCTCTATGCCCTAAATAAAGTTTTGTTTTGTTTTGTTTTCCTGAATTCCTACCAACCTCTTGAAATCTATTGCCAGGATCTTCCTACAGTGAGTTAAACAATGAACTCCAGGCTGGTAATTGCCACTAGCACAGGGAGAAGTTTATATCTTTTTTTTTTTTTTCAACGTTTATTTATTTTTGGGACAGAGAGAGACAGAGCATGAACAGGGGAGGGTCAGAGAGAGAGGGAGACACAGAATCGGAAACAGGCTCCAGGCTCTGAGCCATCAGCCCAGAGCCCGACGCGGGGCTCGAACTCACAGACCGCGAGATCGTGACCTGGCTGAAGCCGGACGCTTAACCGACTGCGCCACCCAGGCGCCCCGAGAAGTTTATATCTTAAAGCTCTGGGGATCAGGGAAGCTAGCACCTTAGAGTTTAGGACAAGGCCTGGGTTTATCGCTCAGCTCGAGCCTATAGCCCCAAGACTGGCTTCGGTACAATTCAGTGTAACAGTTATTACTTGGGAGTATGTGTACAGCTCACTGTACTGATCAAACAGGAAACAGAGCCAGACTTTAATCTCAGAGACCTTGCAATACACAAGAGGAAACAACATAAAGCTAGTAGCTAGAATAGGTCAATAAGTAGTATAACAGGAGAGACTCTTTCTGACCTGGGAAAACAGGAAGTGCTTCATGTAGGAGGCAGTGTTTAAGAAGGTCCCCAACTCCTGGAGACCCATGAAGGTGGAGGTTAGTCAGTGGAAGTTCCCATCACTGGGACACCCTGCAGAGCCACTGTGGGGGAGGGGAGAAGGAACTAGAGATTGAATTGGAATTCCCCTGAGAGGTTCAGAACATCCAGGGAAGTCCTGGTCCTAAGAGATGACACTTTTCTTCCTGCCCCACCTCTAAAAAGTTCATTTGGGCTAGAAGAAAGCCTCAATCCCCAACAGCAGTCCCTGGTGTTTCAAATATTAAGGTCACAGAGGAAAATATAAAGGCCAGTAAACCAAGGGTGCTAGACCCTAAATTACTCTCATGGTTTCCTTTTCACCTTAGCCATGATCTTTATAGCAAAGACTGGAGTGCTGCAAGGTAGGGATTCAAATAATAAAGTAGACATACACATGATAATAGTTACTGTTGGTTAAATACTTGTCTGTGCCAGGTATTGTGTAATTACTTTCATACATTTCCTCATTTAATGTTCACAACTGCCTGGAGAGAAGTCAGCATTATTATGTCAATTTCACAGGCGACATTACTGAGACTAAACAGGGTAACAACAGTAACAACCACAAAAAAAACTACTCGGTATTTTAACTGAGGAGTGGCAGAGCCAAGATTCAAACTCATCTGTTTAACTTCAATGCCAGTAGTGTTACTTGTCATATTGTTTTATAAATAACATATGGTGTCTGTCTTCAATGAACTTACAGTGCACAATTAAGAACAGATCCAAGCTAAGGGCACCTGGCTGGCTCAGTCCCTGCAGCATGTGACTCTTGATCTCTGGGTTGTAAGTTTGAACCCTATGATGGGTACAGAGACTACTTAAAAAAAATAAATAAATAAAATCTTAAAAAAATAAATCCAGGCTAGGTTAAAACTACCATATGATCCAGCAATCCTACTACTGGGCATATATCTAACGGAAATGAAATCACTACCTTGAAGAGATATCTGCACTTCCATGTTTAATTGCAACATTATTCACAATGGTCAAAACATGGAAACAACCTAAGCATCCATCAATGGATGAATGCATAAAGAAAATGTGGTATGTATACACAATGAAATCTTTTACGCCATAAAAACAGGAAATCCTGACATCTGTGACAACATGGATGAAACCGGAGGGCATCATGTCAAGTGAAATAAGTCAGACAGAGAAAGACAAATGCTACATTATTTCACTTAAATGTGGAATCTAAAAAAGCCAAACATAGAAACAGGAAGTAGATTGGTGGTTGCCAGAGATTGGGGGTGGGGGAAAGGGGATATGGGGGGAGGTTGGTAATGGGGTACAAACTTTCAATTATAAGATAAATATGTTCTGAGGATCTAATGTACAGCATGGTGACTATAGTTAATAATACCGTATTGCATACTTGAAATTGGCTAAGAGAGTAAATTTTAAGTATTCTCATTTAAAAAAAGAAAGTAACTATAGGGCACCTGGGTGGCCCAGCTGGTTAAGTGTCCAACCCTT